TTCCAAAGTTTCTCCCACTGCATTTCCCACCTCAGGTCAAGGCTTGAAAATCACTGCAACTTTTAGCAAGAACAGTGAGAGGGGGAGCATGGGAGGGGAAATGGGGGAAGAGGACACTATGGCACCTGGAGGTGGGGAGAGAAAATATGTCACAGCAGTTTGGGGGAAGGTGTGGTCATAGAAGGGGCTGAACTCCATGGTGCCTTGGAGCTCAGGACCCCAAACTTTCAGCTCACAATCTCACCTGGGTTCCCAGCGCTGCATTCAGGAAGCCCTACACTACATTGATAACAGTAACAGTCCTGTAAGGAACAAAATACAGAGAAGAGTGGTCTCAAGTTTAAGAAAATAAGTAGAAACAAAAGACTGAGAAAATGGTATTGACATGAAAGGTAGGCTCCAAATAAGAGAAGATAGTATATCACAAATGAATGTCTGATTACTTGATACTACAGTACTATTTGCATTTGTTACTTGTAATAGCTGACAATCACAAAAATCAAGTAGGGAGTACTGTCTAAAAATGCATCTGGACAACTGTCAGTATTCTCAAAAGATCTATTTCATACGGTCATTGATGTGCAGATTCTTCTCACCTGGAGCTTTATAAATTTCTGTACACTATTTTAGAATACCTTTATTTCAAATACTAAGAAAAAATACTAACTGTCAAATAAATTAGATCAACCAACTGTCCTTTTTGTTGAGGTCACAGGAATGAATATGATTGTCACACATTAAGGCATAATCGGATTTCAGTTGTATGGCTTAGCTCAGTAATCTCCAAAGACAATCTCAAGAATCTATTTCTGTTCATAATATGCATACGTTGCCTGAACTAGAATATACAATTTCATGTAGTTGTAATGATTTGTGTTTTGTCTGGCTCTGCAAACAATATAATTTTAAACAGCATACTGAACCATTACAAATTTAACTTATTTTTAACTATGTTATGACACAAAAGGAATACACTGTTCAGAGTGTTCAAATTTAAATAATGAAGATTACCCATCCTGTAGAATAGCTACACAAGGAAAAACTGCTCCTAATTAAAAATCAAATAAGATTTTCAGAATTGGTGATATACAGCATAGAAACAGACCTTTTGGTCCAACTTGTCCATGCCAAACAGTTATCCTAAATTAATTTACTCCCATTTGCCAGCATTTGGCCCATATCGCTCTAAACCCCTCCTATTTATGTACCCATCAAGATGCCTTTTAAATATTGTAACTGTACTAGCCTCCACCACTCCCTCTGGCATCTCATTCCATAAATGCACCACCCTCTGTGTGAGACAGTTACCCCTCAGGTCTCTTTTAAATCTTTTCCCACTCATCTTAAACCTATGCCCTCTAATTTTGAACCTCCCTAGCCTGGGGAAAAGATCTTGACTATTCACCTTATCCATGCCCCTCATGATTTTATAAAATTCTATAAAATCACCCCTCAGTCTGTGATGTTCCAGGGAAAATAGCCTCTCCCTACAGTTCAAAACCTCCAACCTTGGCAACGTCTTTGTAAATCTTTTCTGAACCCTTTCAGGATTCACAACATCTTTCCTTTAGCAGGGAGACCAGAAATGAATGCAGTATTCCAAAAGTGGCCTAACCAATGTCCTGTACAGCCGCAACATGACCTTCCAACTCTGATACTCATAGCACTGACCAATAAAGCAAGCATACCAAATGCCTTCTTCAGTACCCTGTCTACCTGTGACTTCACTTTCAAGGAAATAGGAATCTACACCCCAAGGTCACTTTATTTGGCAATACTCTCCAGGACCTTACCATTAAGGAAGAAGCTCAAACAGCGAATTAGGAGGACTAAAAGGGGGCATGAAGTGTCCTTGGCCAGCAGCATTAAAGAGAATCTCAAGGCATTTTATACATATATTAGGAGTAAGAGGGTAGCTAGTGAAAGAGTCCCACTCAAGGATAAAGGAGGGAGATTATGTGTGGAGTGAGAGGAAGTAGATGAGATCCTTAATGTATACTGAACATTGGTATTCACTAAAGAGAGGATCATGGGTTTGTGTGGGGAAGGTCATGTCTCACCAATTTGACTGAATTTTGAGAGGTGGTAACAAGAATGATTGATGAGGGAGTGGCAGTGGATGTTGTCCACATGGACTTTCGTAAGGTATTTGATAAGGTACCTCAAGGCTGGCTGGTACAAAAGGTAGTGTCTCAGGATTTGTGGTGTGCTGGCTCGATGGATACAGAACTGACTTGATCATAGAAGACAGAGAGTAGTGATGGAAGGGTGCTTTTCAGAATGGAAATCAGCTAATAGCGATGTTCCACAGGGATTGGCGCTGGTGAAATAACTCCACAGAGGCTGGTATCCCATCATCATGTCACCTTTTATTTACACATGGAAAGTCCTTGACACTGATCCAGCTCCCTCAAAGCCAGCTCTCAGAGTGTCAGGATGTATGTCAGACATCCTGGCACTCCTGCTTTTATTTTTTTTCCTTGTGGCCAGCCAGTTCAGAGTCAGTGCTCAACTGAGGAGATTCTAGTCTCCTGGTTATATATATTTTATGGTTCTTTTTTCAAAAACCCCTGCACTACTGCCATACAGCTGTAGCCCTTATTTTACCCAGAGCACCCACGTTGTGCGCATGTAAGTGCAAGGGACATAATTTTATTAAATATTTCCACCACCAGGAAGAAAATCATCCAGATAGTCAGTGAATCAGTAAAAGCAAAGCTTACATGAAAACAAAAGTAAAGGGGAGAGTAGGGATCAAATCAAATCTCTTGTTTTTATCTGTCAGCCAAGACTCCCTGATTGGACCAAATTGACAGCACAAATCAGGGAACTCATTCTATGACTTCCACCTGGCTGACCTTGTTACGATCACTACATCCTCCCTCTCTGAGTTCAAGGACATAGGCCGGTTCTTTATCTTGTAGCTCATCCTGGGACGGTTTAGCACGGCATCAGGTTTCTCCAACTCTGCCTCGAATATGAGTGCCATGTAACACACACTCACCTCGTGTGCCCAAGTGTCTCCAAAGAAATTCACTCTCTTTCTTCTTCAGGCAGCAAAAGCATCAAGGAGCATCGAGGAACAGGACATGTTTTGCTCCTGCCCTGTTTGCGAGATTGCAGCTTTCATATGGTCCACGTGCTTGTTCAGGACTGTCACAGCTAACCAAATATTATATGTCACTGGGTCTGAACTCGCATTGACCATGCCCCTTACCCATGCAGGGCCATTCTCCACGGTTCCCACACCAAACTATCTCTTTTGCTTCGTGGAGTTTTGTGTCCAGCGTTGGCATTCCTGATACCATTTCAGCCTTCACCCAGGTCCGGAAAGATCAGATTTAACCTGGTGCGGAGTGTTCTTCCCATTGGTAACTCTGCTGGAGCTATCCCCGTGATTGTATGAGGGGTCATCCTTTAATCAAATAGGAACCGGGATAATTTGGTACCTAGTGAAACTGTCGGCTGTTTCTTTAAGCCCATAGACAAAGTTTGGTCTGCTTTTCTGCCAGGCCATTGGATGAAGGGTGGTATGGAGCTGCCCTTATAAGTCAGATGCCATATGACTTTAAGAAATACTCAAATTCCCTGCTGGTAAATGATGGCCCATTATCTGTGACCAACACTTCCGGGAGTCCGTGTATTGAAAAAGATTTGTGCAATTTTAATTTGCATTTCTTAAGAGGATGAAATTGGAAGATAAAAGGATACAACACAACAAACTGAGCACATTTCAAACTCAACAGCATAATTATTGAAATACACTCAAATACCAGAAATTGAACAAAATGACTACAAATTTGAAAACAGTCCATCTGAAAATTAAGATCAGAGTCATACAGCACAGAAACATACCCTTACATGTCCATGCCAACTGTCATCTCAAACTAAACTAATCCCACCTGCCTGCACCTGGCCCATATCCCTCCAACCCTTTCCTATTCATGTACTTATCTAAATGTCTTTTAAATGTTGCAATTGTACTTGCATCTACTACTTCCTCTGGAAGTTCATTCCACACATGAACCACTTTCTGTATAAAAAAAACTGCCCTTCATGTCTTTTTTCAAATCTTTCTCCTCTCACCTTAAAAATATGCATCCTAGTCTTGAAATTACATGATCCAAAAATTAGCTAAGGATATTTGAATGAGTTTTGGATTATGTAGTTGGGAGCTTTCAGATCCATATAGATCCCTGATCTTCAAAAGTTTAATACTCTATGGCATAACATTGGAAATGGTTGACAATTTATTTTTCCCCATTTCCCTCCCTGAAGGTCACTTGACATCTCCAGAAAAGATCCAAAAAAGCACTCTGTCGCACTCAACTCCACATAATGAGTCTGCTATTTGTGGTCAGAATGGAAATGATTGAAAATTCCCTCATTAATCATGTCTGGAGACAAATAACCTGGGAGTCCAGTTATAAGTCACAGTCCATTTCCAGCTCATGTGTAATAAAGCACAGTTGTGCCAGCGGTTGTGCTCACAAGGATTTCTGCCATCCACATGCAGATAAGCGTAATGGAAGTTGTTGATTCAGTATGCATCATTCTGTGAAAGCCCTAGCCTTCAAACTTATAACTGCACTGTGACTTTCCTTTACCTTCATGCTAAGAGTTTTCAACCTACATTAACAAGTTACTGTGATAAGTTAAAGAATCAAAAAAAAAAATGCCATTCATTAGCAGCATACTTTTGGTGCTCCTTTTCCAATATTAACAAAACAAAGTTAATTTGGTTTCTCCAGTTCGGGAAATAAGTGACTGAAGTTGTATCAGTAATAACAGTACAGTAATCCCTGAAAAAGAAAAGCTCAAAGTATGGATGAAAGATTCACCTTTTTAACTACAATTATTTTTTCAGCATATAATGATATTTCAGGACTGAAAATCTTGTACCTAGGATCTGCTGAATACTTCTAATACCAAACTTTGCTGTTGTCACTACAAAAAAAAAGGCATCGTACATTTCCTATTTATAAACCACGACTACTTACCATGAAACATTTCAACAGCAAAAAGGTTAAAAACTTCCTGCACCGTACTCAGACGAAGCCTGCCTTCACAAAGGGTAAACGCTCGTTTTTCATCCACAATGGTATTTTCTTGCAGCATTTTCTTCAAAAACAAAAAGTTAATTTTAAAAAAATGTAAATATTTCAAATATAACTTTCAAACAAAAATGCAAATGAATTTAACTGTTAATAATTAAATGAACTCTCTCATACAATTACATAACTTCATAACTTAGTTTCATAATATTCATCAAAATGTGCACATTCACAACTTGTAATGGGTTGTTCTTGGACAATAGGTTCCTGGGACTGAATGCTGCCCAGATTGATACAAGTTTTTTTTCTCCAATGCCTACAGTGCTCCTAAGAAAAATGATTTGCAACTCCTTCCAGATTCACTCATTTCTGTTGAATCCAGATATATATTAATGCAACTGTTGCATCTGAGTAAAGGGGCAATTTCACTCAGCTAGGCCAGAAAGACATTTGGTATGGTAAACGGAAATGTCATACAGCAGGAGAAGCTCTTTAGCCTGAAATTAAGAAATATTATGATTATGTAGAAAAGGGGTTTTTATTCCTCATTTTATAAAGTATCTAATTGGAATGTATGAAATACAGAAACTGGATCCCAAATTGGAAGGATATTCCATTTTCTATCACTTTAATGAGTAAATAAATACACCAAACACAAAACAAACTAAGTGTCACAGCAGGAATTTACTACTAAAGCTTTAGGATTCAGAAGTAAAAATATTATGGTGGATTTTATAGATGGGTTCAATCGTAGCTATTCTAATTGAATGGAAGAAAAGTTTTTGTCCGATTTGCAAATTAATTTTGGGTGTTCCCACACCAACCATCAATATGCTAATGACAGAGATGGATTGTCTACGTTTCTCCCACTGTCCTCCTTGAATTGCTGCAGCCAACTGTAGATTGTCTGGCTTTTGGTGGTTTCCATAAATTGCCTGACAAAAATATCTGGTGAGCAGTCTCAAATGACAGTAGGATTGATCATACTGGAAATCATAGAGACAAGTCAATACTTAGTTCATTTTGAAAAGCCCATCAATTAAGCTGCATTTAGAACATAAATAACATAATTGATTCTTAAACATAAAACACTTCACAATGAACATCTAAACCTCAGCAATGGTTATACTGACAACACCGTGCAGAACAGAAAATTCCAGGTGTTAAGGGTATTTGTTACTGATGTGAATTTGCACATTGAATACTGACTTAACAGAATTTTAAATATATTATAAATACAAAGTGCATCAATAGCCACCAGGATTCAATTGAATTACAACAGCAATGCATATTATCAAAACAATATGCATCAAAGACCACATTTAAAATCAGCTATGCTTATGCTGCCAAAGACCTAGTGAATAAGTTTATGTCCAATTTTTCATTACTTGGATGGCCTTGTGACTACAATATTGATTAACATAGAGACATCACTCATTTGGAGTTCTCTTCAAGAAAGTGTGGTACAACAAATGATTTCACACTGCGTAGTGTATTTTGAAATATTTGTATTAATTTTCTACACAAAAAGCTTCCTATTATCACAAGTTTGTGCCGTTTTCCACATTGAAAAGTTTTATCTATGTTTAGAATGGGAGTTGCTTTCATAAAACCAACCCTGTTATTATGCAATCGGACAACCAGATAATGATAAATTCCTCAGGCTTGTATCTGATGTTTCATCAGTAATGTAAATGTCAAATTCAAACCAGAAGTCTAACTTTCTAAGAAAACAGATTAAACATAAATAAATTAGTTTTCAATGCTTGAGTTTGGGCTTGATATTTTTAGCCTGAGCTGTGACACCACATTTAGCAAGATTTTAACTTGTTCAAAATTAATTCATTTAACAGTTAAAATTGGGCCCTGAGAGTTGAAATTTAATAAGCATATACTTAAAATAGACTGTGTGCCTAACTTCCCAGATTATATCAGCACTTTCCAAAGTTTGCTGAAATGGCCTAGCTTGTTCATTTCTGATACTTTCTACAAAGTAGCTTTTCTTATATAATTTTGAAAACAAGATGATTTTTAAAAGTTTTTCCAAGACAAGATACATATAAAGTACAATTTTTTTCAAAAGAGACAGTGAATGATGATGACACATCATTTGTAGCTTTTGTTTTGCATTCCATAAACAATAGTGTATTAAGAGGTGAGAGAGGAGACAGACCAACAGAGTCAGAACTCATAGGCCCTCCTCGTTGACAAAAGACATTAATTATCACTCATTTTTGAGTAGAGATAAAGATGAAAAAGCAAATAAGGTTATGAAAGATAACAACAGAATATAACTGAAAAAGGTGGGTCATGGAGTATTTCTTATTTCAGTTACTATTACTTCAATTCAAAGAGACATGAAGGGTGGGGCAGGGGTATGGAATGTATGAGGAACAGCTTTTATTATTTCAAAAATATACTTTATTCATGAAATCATAAGTGCATACAAATGTTCTAAATCATATTGTTACAGTCTTTGCAGAGAAATAAACAAAACATTGGAGCTTTGACACTTCTCAGAGCTTCTCTACAGATGCAAAAAACAAAGCCATTTTCTACATATGCAGGAAATAACTTAAGTATATTTTAAGGCATCGAGAGAGTCTGACAACTGAATGGACCATGGTTACATATTGGCAGAAAGACCCTAGACAGCCGCCTTTCCCCACTGTGCCTACAATGGCAGGTGCCCTGAGGTTTAGTACGCCCCTCAGCACATAGTCTTGGACGTTGGAATGTGCAACACCCGGTCAAGGTCAACATTTTACATTGGAAGGCCAACGGGTTTTGGGAAACCAAAGAGTATTTTTCACCTAGTTGATGGCCCTTCAGGTGCGGTTGGTTTTTGTCTCGGTGCATAACCTAGAGAACACCCCAGAGAGCACAGAGTCCTGCGTGACAGAGCTGCTCAGGATAAACCTCGACACAAACCACTACATCTCTCTCCAGACCTTCCTTGCTGAAGAACAGAAATGTGTTAAGGGAGCTGGTTGGTCATCTCCAATTAAAAGCAGTTAACACCTGATAATTTGAATATCAGCACCTTTATGTCCTCATTACTGCCAAAGAAAGGAGTAATGTTTAGTTTATTTATTGTTTAAAAATAAACATATTTTCAGGCATTTCACGTTTAGAATGAAAATAATTAAGCTAATCTGATAAATCTTTCATGGAATAAAAATTAAATACTAAATCTTATCCAGCTTTATTTACATGTACAGAGCTAAACATAAATAATGAGTTCATATCTATAATAATTAGAACAATGAAATGTTTTAAAAGATCCAGTTTTAGCTGCTATAAATAAGCACTACTTAAAGTAGATCACATGACACAGCAATTTTCATCAGCTTCAACAGTTTTTGGATTAAGTCTAGCTTCTTCTACAGGTAGTGGATACAGATTGAAATTTTGAAGTCTTCACATAGCAGTGAATACATCAAAAAAAAACGATTCTGATTTCTAAACTAAAAGTATATGATGACCACCTTTATTTTGAAAGTACAGTTAACATTGTCAAAATAAATACCTGATAGATGACGTAAAGGATGGATGGATCAGATGAATAGGTTACTGAAGACTTCTTTCCATTTTTGTTATAATCTGATATTTGAGAAAGGCACTGCTTTATCTCTGTTAAGCTCTCAAATAATCTATCCATTTTTTTGGACAATTGTTCCATTTTGTCATTTGTATGGTCACCAATATTCAGTGAAGTACCAGCAGGTGACTGTGTAATTTGGTCTCCATTAAACAAGACTGGGCTAATCAAAGTCCTATTTGGTGTGCCTCGTCCATGATTATCTATGGAGCCATTTACAGATTCATTGGCATTGTAGCCTAAGATCACTGTAGGGTCACTAGGTGAGACTCGTCCTGATGATTTTGGCATACTTGCTTCCCAGCTTTGCTCACTACCGCCATTCTTTACTTCCTCTATCAATCCCTTTCTAATGTTTGGAAATCGAGTTGCACTATTTCCTGGCAATAATAGTTCTTTTCCTGCAAATTGCTCTTCCTTGGACAGATCTTCAAAATACTTCTTCATTCCAGAGATGTTAATGCCAGGCTGCCCAAGTGTCTCTGATGATACAGAACCATCATCCAACAATAGCTTTTTAGTCATAAGTCTGATTAAATAACGGTCTGAATTTGAAGATGGGAGAAAAGCAAGATCATTTATTTTTTGCCTCCCAACTAAGAGTAATAGTAGTTTCTCAGTCAGAAAACACAAACCCTTTGGCCGTTCATTTTTGTGCAACTGTATTTGCTGAATGTTGGGCATACTTGAAGAGGTTACTGAATACACAAATATTATATTACAATTATTTGATGATACAGCAATTGTACATCGACGAGGGTCAAAACACACAATATCAGGGACCAGAATCCCAGGGATGCTTACTTTTCTAGTTGTTGTCACTTTTCTCTCAAAAGTTACTAAAATCAGATGCGATGAATCATGACCACTTCCAGTAAGGCAATCCTTGCGCTTCAGGTGAATAAGGGGGCTAGGATCAGATTTGCGATGAGTTGCCAGAAGATGAGTCAGATCTAAAGGGCCAGATGGCGAAAACATTGGACCTTCTGTCAAAGACCTTGAGGAATCTACTGATTTTCTTCTCACATTCATTGATTGGTTTTCTTCAACTGCCAGCATTGTGGGTCTTGACATCAAGGATCCAGTTTCTGATATAGGAGCAACCTCAAAGGCAGCACCAGCATTCAGACCACAGATTTTATCAAGGGGTAATTCAGTTGTCACAACCACTTGAAAATCCAAACATGCCTCTATTGCACAGATGCATCCTCCAACATCAAATATGGGGCAGAAATTACAAGCGTGAAGAGTCTTTTGGTTATTATTCCATATGTATGAATGAAGGGCACTGCCTACAGCGATCACTAAACGATTTCCATCTGTAGTCCAACAGGCACAGTGAATCAAACCACTACCTTTGATATCTGCTTTAACTCTACGGTTGTCAATCTGTACTGCAAACAATACAGAGGCATCTCTCTTTGTTAATACCACTAAGGCATCATATTTTGGATGCCACACACAGCCTTGTTGCAATATTGGAAAGATTTCTCCCAGTTCACATGTTTGCGAAACCAAAAGCTTGTTGTGTTCCAAGGTGCTGTTTTGTAACTGCCATACCGTTATATGTTTTTTATGCTGCACAGCAAGCAGTGCCAAAGTCCCTGTACAACAAACAGGACCCCAGTGAAGGCCACTGACATGTTCAAAACTTCCAATGACATTGCTGTCGCCAAACTTGACCTCACCATTGACTAGGTGAATGGTGGTAAGAGCAACCTGTTTTCCATCTGTCCAGGCAATCCCATGAAGCGGATGAACAGCTTGATGTAATACATTAACTCCAGTCCGCAGTAATTTTGCTTTTCCAAGCTCCATGCTGAACATCTGAAGAATTCTGGAGGTAATTAAAAAAAAATTAGAATCATACTTAAACTATCAGCATATTTTCTCCAATAAATATTACTTGTGTAGATCTTAATGCTGTATACATATGATCGAGTCAAAACAATTTAATCTGTTAATACTTGCAGTACCATTGAAAGAATGTCTCACTGAGATGGTCAGTGCAATCTCTCTTACACTACTCCGTCACTTACCTAAGACTCCTTCAATACAGCCGTCCAAAAGAAGAAAGCTGCAGCATTTAATCCATAATGACACCTGAGCTGATTATTCTTTTTAGTAGTCCAAGCTAAGAATGACAGATAATTGAACCTCTCAGCAGAAATTACACTAATGAATACGAAAGGAGCTGCTTTCCCACTGCAAAACGTATATCAGGAATGAATATTTCTTGGTGTTTCTTGAAGATTTAGAGGAAAAGAAGACATTTCTTGTTATTTATTAAAGATTTAATGGAAAAAGGAAGCAACACGAAGCAGATTATGATCTAAATTGTTGAATTCAATATTGAGTGTCTGGAAGGCTGTAAAGTGCCTAATTGAAAGATAAGATGCTGTTCCTTAAGCTTATTTTGAGCCTCACTGACACACTGCAGTATGCAGAAAATAGACGTCAACATGAGAGCAAGGTTAAGTATTAAAACAACAGACCCACCGCAAGAATGGGGTCACACTTTCAGACTGACTACAGGTGTTCTGCAAAAATGGTTACCCGATCTGTGTTTCATCTTCACTGTGTAAAGGAGACCACATTCTGAGCAATAAATATAGCAGACTGGATTGAAAGACATGTAAATCACTATCTCATCGGGAAGGAATATTTAGGACCTTGGACGGTGAGGAGAGGTGTTAAATGGTGAGGAGTTACATCTCTTGCTTTTGCATGGAAAATTATTGACTAGCTCAGATGGCTTGAATGACTAGAGTGGGTTCAATTCCCATTCTGGCTGAGGTATACTTGGGGCGTGACTCCTTACTTTGCCCCTGAAAGTGTAAGGTGAAGGCAAACCATTACCAAGATAACTCAAAATGAAACATCAGCAGTCAACAGGCCAAGGATATAAGGGCAGAATACCTACGCCATGCCAAATCATCACAACTGTGGGATAGCCAAAGCGCTTCCCATTCCCTACTTTTAAAGTTGTCACTACAATCAAACACACATCCACTGCTGCACAGAATTTGGTTAATATGGTGTGGTTGCAAGAGGACTTAAACTATGGTACTGGAGAAATTTATGCCCTTTGACTAGTAACAGTGTAAAATGTTTTGTGTCCACCTGAAACAGCAGATTGGGACCCTCTTCAAAACATGATACCGCTGGAAATGTATTTCAAGTGGTAGCCCTTAGATTTTTTTTAAAATGTTGAGATGGCAATGCAGTGTTTGCAGACCATACTCAGGTTTGAGGGCATATCAACTGGATCTAGGCCACCAACAGATAGGGTGTCCACAAAGGAGATCAGTAAGTAATTTTTGTAAGACAATAAAAGAGCTTTCATTATCATTTTTCTCACAAATACACAAAAATTAGATTTGTTTTAATCTCCCAATTTACTTTGATGAGATTTCAAGGCATAATCGAAAGTCTGCAATAACCAGAGCATAACCACAGTATTGATTTTAATAATTACTTTGATGTCCTATTGCCTCATTCTAATAAAAAAATTTTTAAACTTTAAGAAACATCAACAGCTAAAATCTTTCATTCATGGTTCTTTCCAATCTTACTATTCAATAGTGCATCTTGCATTGCTTCTCACACAGGATTTCAACACTATACACTTAAAACAACTGGCCCAATATCCAGTAGCAGATTAGTAGAAATTTCTTCCAACTAAAAGCCATCACCTTCAATACCGAATGCAAACACTACTCCCTAGAGATTGACTCCATCCCTTTCCCTTCCAACTGTGGCTGAGCACAGTTGAGCAATGTGTTTTGTCACGTTTGACCTTGAGAGAGAGCTACCAACTACATACCCTCTCCATTACCAAAATCACCTACCTTCACCTCAGAAACATTATTCAACTCTGTCCCTGCTTCAACTTACGTGCTACCAAAACTAGCATTTACTACTTCAACGCATCGTGTCCAACCTTTCACCTTGCATTCTCCATTAAAATGAGCTCAACTGAAACTCTGTTGCTGTATTCTAATGCAATCTTGTTCATCCATCACCACTGTGCTCTCTGACCTACAGCAGCTCCAAATACAATAATGCCTTGATTTTAAAATCATTAAAAGAACTCCCTCCATGGCTTTTTCCCTTATCTCTGAAATCTTCTCCAGTGCTCCAACAATGCTCCAGTTCTGTCCTTATGCAAATTCATATTATTTCCTCCATAATTAAAGATCTTGCCTTCAGCTTGGACCGAAACATTCCACTTTATAACTCCATCCTGCATTAAGGCATTCCTTAAAACTAAGCTCTTTAAAGAGGCTTTAAGTCATCTGAAATAATAATTCTAAAAGGATCAGTGTCAAATTCTGTTTGATAACTATCTCATAAATCACGTTGAGGTGCTTCATATTTAAAATGCTGTACAAATGTTACAAAGTCACCATAGCCCCAGCAGAACATAAGGCTGCTCTCTAAGAGAGAAGTAACAGGTGATGTTTTAACCTGAGGGTCACCATACCTCAAGCAAGGGGAAAGAGGTTGAGAAAAAGAGTCCTTTTCATGGTAACCTCAGCTAGTGCAGAAATTGAACACATGCTTTTGGCATAACTCTACATCACAAACCAGCCATTCACCCAACTGAGCTGACATCTTTGAATGTAACATAAATACTATACAAATCAAACAATTTTAAATATTGCTTTAATAATTAACATAACAAGTTTAAAGTTATGAGGGACATCAGTTGAAACAGAATCCATTCCTCATCGGCAATGTTAATGATTTTATTGAATGGCAAAGCAGACTCAATGGACTGAATGGCCTACTTATGCTACTACATTGTACGGTCTTAACACATCATCCACTTTATTATAGTTTCCCAAAAGCTATCTCAACAATAACTGCACACCATTTTAAGAGACAATTACTTTCAACAACTTGTTCACAATTGACGAAGGCAAACTCTGTTCTGAAGGTCTGAAGTATAGATAGATTTCATAAGTACCATTTCAAAAACAGAGATAGGAGGCTCATGAATCATATGAGGGTGCCAGCCTGTCAAGACCGAAGCAACTTAGAAAATAGGAGCCAAGATAGGCCATTCAGCCATTTGTGCCTGCTGCACCATTCGAGATGATAGATAAGTATATGAATAGGAAAAGTTTGTAGGGATATCAGCCAGGTGCAGGCGAGTGGGACTCGTTTAGTTTTGGATTATGTTTGACATGGACTGGTTGGACCAAAGAGCCTGATCCCGTGCTATCTGACTGTATGATCGTGGCTGATCATCCACCTCAGTGCCCTGTTCCCGCTTTCTCCCCATACCCCTGTGATCCCTTTCACCCTAGGAACTGTATCTGTTTCGACTTGGCCTCAACGACTTTCTGTGGCAGCAAATTCTACAAACCAAACACCCTCTGGGTGTAGATACTTCTCTTGTATTTACGCAGCATTATAAACACTTCGGGAAGCCTCGAAGCCAATGGAAATGTGTTGCTATCAATCAGGGCTGGTCATTTGTGCACAGCAAAGTCCCGCGAACAGCAAGCGATGAGAATAAATGACCAGACAAAGGATTTTGTTGTTGAGCAAGTAGACCAAACAGCACAGTTTCTGGGATGCTTCGCCCACATGGCGAGGGGAGGGAAGCAGGTAGCACCGGGAGTTGAAGCGAGGGAGTTGGGCGAAACCTGTTCCGTTTCGACGGCCCCGAGCGGTCGCGGTGACACTCACCCAGCGACAGCCTTCCCGGGGCCTCCCTCCCCTCACAACAAAACCCCCCCAACAGCAGCAGAAGGCTCGGAGGGGCTTCAGCCGCACGGGCACAGAATCCTCACCGGAAGCTTGGCCCTAGCAACCGCCTTACTTCCGGTCTGTTCGTGGAAGCGCGGGCGTACACGGCACGCATGCGCGAAGCTCATTCCGACACGGAAAGGGGAGGATGGGTGAGGTATGGTGTCTGAGCCATTGGAAAATACTGACTATTTCTTTCCCTCTCCATCCTCACAATAAACCTCAACAGAGGTGGGTGCAATGAGTATAAGGAACTTTTAACAAAGAAAAAAGGAGCCAAGGTATCGAATTTTCTGATTTTAAACTGGTGATGGGTAATTACACAGCTGCTAGCATTTATCAGACAACTGGGAACATCTTGAAATTAAGGTAAAGGGGGATAAGTTCAAACCACTTGAAAATAAAGTTAGGGCTGGTTGGAGGGTTTGTTTTTAAAACAAATTTTTGCATAATTAATGATTTAGGTGAGACATTTAATGTGAAAAGGAGAAAGCCAACACTAGAGATATATTGGAGTTCACCACACCAACTAAAAAGCAAAGAGTCACATTTATGTAGCGCTTATTCACGATCACTGAACATCTCAAAGCACCTTGCAACCAATTAAGCCTTAGTTTTTAAGGGGAGTTACTGTTCTAATGTAAGAGACGCAGCAGTTATTTTGTGCTCAGCAAACATCTACAAACAGAAATGTGATAATGAACAGCTAATGTTTTTGTGATATTGATTGAGAGATAAATGTTGATCATCTCA